AGAAAATAATTATACAATGTACAAATCTATGTCCACTCCTGCAAAAACGGTGCCGCGGCACTAAAAAAGAGAGGTATGGCTTGTAAATCAGTAAATGGTACTTGTCGCGGTAAAAGTATGGAAATGGTGGGCAAAGATATATGCTCATTGAGGCTGCCCATGCTCTATATATACATGCATCCTTGCCGGGTTATGGACACCCAATCTCCATCCATCATTGCCGATTGATCCTTAATTAATCAGCCAGGAGCCCGAGATCGATCATGCCTATGGCAGCACCACAAGGGAAGCTAAGTCCGGAGGCCATGGACAATGAAGTTATCAGCAACGGCAGCGCCAAGGACTACCTGGACCCTCCTCAAGCGCCGCTGGTGGACGCCGGCGAGCTGGGTAAGTGGTCTTTGTACCGTGCCGTCATCGCGGAGTTCACCGCCACGCTGCTCTTCGTCTACGTCGCTGTCGCCACCGTGGTCGGCCACAAGCGCCAGACCGACGCCCAGGCGTGCAGCGGCGCCGGTGTGCTGGGCATCGCGTGGGCCTTCGGCGGCACGATCGCCGTCTTCGTGTACTGCACCGCCGGCATCTCCGGTGGCCACATCAACCCCGCCGTGACATTCGGGCTGCTGCTCGCACGCAAGGTATCCCTTCCCAGGGCCTTCCTCTACATGGTGGCGCAGTGCGTGGGCGCCATCTGCGGCGCGGCGCTGGTGAGGGCCGTGCACGGCGGCCACCACTACGTGCTTTACCGTGGCGGCGCCAACGAGCTCGCGCCGGGCTACTCCAGGACGGCGGGTCTCATCGCCGAGATCGCCGGCACCTTCGTGCTCGTGTACACCGTCTTCTCGGCGACCGACCCGAAGCGCATCGCCCGGGACCCGCACGTCCCGGTGCTGGCGCCGCTCCTCATCGGATTCGCCGTGCTCATGGCGCACCTCGCCACCATCCCCATCACCGGCACTGGTATCAACCCGGCGAGGAGCTTCGGTGCCGCCGTGGTGTACAACGGCGGGAAGGCTTGGGACGACCAGTGGATCTTCTGGGTTGGCCCGTTCATCGGCGCCACCGTGGCCACGGTTTACCACCAGTACATCCTCAGGAATAGCGCCATCTTCCGGTCCAACTACGGCGCCGCCGTCTAGCTACTCCCATTCATCCATCCATTGATACGTTCCATATCTACTTGTTGATGAGTTGAGATCCACATTATGGATGGATCCACCGTGTGGCTGTTAAAATCAATGGTTAATTAGTATGTTGTTGTGTTACTGAACGGATGTATTGTATTTGTATGTTAGTGTTGGGTTTAGAGTGTTTGCTAGTTACTGCAAGCGATGGCTATCTAGTGAGAGAAACCAAAATATTACTTCCCATGATTTTTGAAACCTTTCACTTTCCTGACTTCACATTTAGTTTGGTTTAGTTACTCTCCCTGAATTTTGAAACCTTTAACTTTGCAACCCTTTTATTCTCCATTTTATGGGTTTTAGCAACGTTCCTAATCAGCAGTGTCACATTACATGTTTTCTTTCTCAATGTCACGCCACCTCTGTTCACTCTCCTTGTAATTTGATGTTAGTTGACATTTTACATTGAATGATTGCTAGTCTACTGCAGACTGCAGTAAAATTCAAATTTGTCTATGTCCTTTGTGTTTGAACACACGATTTAAAGTTAAAACTAAAATATTAAATTCCTTTCAAACCATATGTCCATTTCGTATGAAATTTAACCAGATTGGTCCGTCACTAAATTACTTCCACTTTCCGGGAATCTTTCAATTTTTTCTGTGTAGCTTTAATTTAAAACCCATAGTTTATTTAAACTTGAACTAATACATCAAGTGGTTTCTCGCAAACCATATACATGTCAAACAGTAGTGTTTCTATGTAATTTAGTTCATTCATCAGCGTCAAGCATCGGATCCGCATCTGCATGCCATACAGGGAGTAAAAATCATGCATCCATGAATGGATGAAATATGGACCGCACAAGGCTGGGTGCAGTTACCACATGCAGGGTTGTGTATATGGCCAAATTATGAATTGAATCTGAATTTGATGTTTAATGTGAGTCAGACCATATAATAACTATGAATTACTATGCATGCACTGCATAGTAGTTCTCCTCTTTCACAGTTTACTACTCCTACTCTGAATTATTACAGGTGCAATGCATAGTAGTTCTCCTCTTCCACAGTTTACTACTCCTGCTAGTGCTTTCTTTCGCGGCGTTGCATGGGCGTACGTCTCTAGCTGGACCAGTCGAGGTGTCAACGTATGTGCGCTGCGCTCCACAGTAGATAGATTAGCTTCTTCCTCGGAGAGACATACAGACTCGATGAGAGGCCCAGACAAGGCCATGCATGCAGCTACATGCAAAAACAATTATGCATGCACCAGGGTCGACAGTGCTACTTCCTCCGCTCTTAAATATTTGTCTTTCTAGAGATTTGAAGTATCTAGAAAGACAAATATTTAGAAACAGAGGGAGTAGTTCTTATTCCTTTTTTCACGCAATCTCACTAGTCTTATCAAGTTGTAATAGCTGTAACTTGCTGAAGTTTTTAAAATTTGTCAAAGCATATTGAAGACTGGTCTTGTTTCAAAGCTCTCGTCACAAGGAACACAAGCATGCAAAAGAGACATAGGTTGCACTTTTGGTTCAAAAGATATAATAGATTCAAATTTTAAAGGCAAACGAAAATAAAGTGTGATGGGTGGCGTATGCCATCTCTGCCAATTGCTGCATGCATGGATCTCATCTAAATTAATTAAGGGCTAAAACACATAGAAAGGCAAAATGAGTTTCCAGATCACGAGTCAGGACGTATATAATTGCGCGTAACAGTTTAACAAAATTCTATTGCATTATTAGTTCGATATATGGGGACGGTTAATTTTGGTGGTTATTCCCCCTCGTAAGTACGTAAATTTTCTGTAAAACTAGTAAGTAGGAGTAGGATTCCTGTAGTTTTACCCATGTATGAAATTCACTGGATGCATGGCACAGACAGTACGCAACTAGTCACGTGCATGGTTTTCCCGGGGAACAAGGACAACGAAGGGCCGTACT